GTGTCCTGAAACCAGAACATCACCATAATAGAAATCTCAGCTCTAACTTTAGCACCCGCTGTAGCTTAGGTCATAAAGTCTATGTTGACTGACACTGTCTATGCCAGTCAGTCTTGCACTTTGTTTTACCAGTTTGGACTGACAGATGAGTTGCCCCGGTGCAGATTTACTGCAGAGTTAAAAAATAATAATTTAGAAATGACACAAAACTTGGATTGGATACTTTATATCACTAACAGGTCATTAGAAATCCTTATAGAATTTTAAACATATATTATATAACTGATGTTTTTAGTGCTGATTTTGGCAGCCACCACACTAGACCCCAAAACATCCCAAAGGTGTTCCTTATATCACCTTCCCCTCCTGTGCAGCACGTACTTCCAGTGTTTTACTGTTTACTCGTGTGAGATATATAGCTGCACTTTTATTGGCAGGTTAGGACAAGCTTCGCTATAATGAGCATTAGGTTTCTTTTGAAAGCAGCTCAAATTAGCTGGGAAAGAGAGGGAAGAAAATTGCTGAATGGACTTTACAAGCTCTTTTATTCACCCCCACCACTGTAATGCGTAGTCGTGAAGTCTCTCTAGTTAAATAGCTCATGAATGATGCATTGGCGACTACACTAGTCAACTCTGAACTCGGGACTAATTGATGATTGCTCGCAAACAGATGTTGGCCCAGTTCGAATCACGGTTGTTAGCAATTATTTGATAAACAACTGGCTAATATGCTAATTGCTACCAGCTGTCGGAGAGGTTATTCTGCCTGTTTACACTCCAGTTACAGTAAGACGCTCGACTTCACCTGTCCCCCCTTTGGGCCCGACTGTTCCCCCACAACCCCCCAACTACAAGGCGAGCCTACACCCTTTTCCGAAAAGGTCACCTGCTTTGCACAATACACATCATTACCTTGTTCAGTTAGCATAACATAATCAACCGGTTTTAGTGACTGCCAACGCATGCACATGGACAAAACAGTAAACAATGGATGCCTTGTGCACTTTTTCTTTTGCTGAACAAGTGGAATTCCTCCTCTTTCCACTGTTTTGGTTTCAGCCTCCCTCAGGAATGTTTTTACCGGGGCACATTCCTCACTCTCAGCTCATGGCTTTCCATGGTGTCTCGGTTTTGTTGGCCAGGACGTCGTGCGTTGGATGGCCGTGTCACACAGAGAAGTAGACTTCCTCAGAAATCAGTCAAACCATCCTTAAAGGACATTTCTCTCCCCCCCTCTCTCTCCACACGGTGGTTGGTACCGAGATGCAGAAGTACCGGCGAGGCCAGGAACTCAAATAAACAGAAATGTCACCATGGATGATGTGGTAGACAAATGTATGCTTGTATATAGTGCGCTTACATGTCTGTGTGCGTGCGTGCACGTGTGCTCGCCATACCTGCCGGGTGGGGGCCCCTGGAGTACCCTGACAAGAGCCATTAAAGTTTATAAGCGTGAGGCCCAGCTGTCAATCAGGCTGACAGGCTTCCCCCTGTCCAACTCTGCTCTGAGGTGAACCCCACGAAACCCCAGAGAACCCCTGACCTCACTTTGACAGGGAGCTGAGGCAAGCTGGATTAGTATGGGCTGAGTCGGGCTGGGCTAGGACTGGCCTGGGTTATGGTGAGTACACGGTGTCTGTGAGCTGACGGGTTGAGAATTTTTGACTAAAAGATTGATGATTTGAGTCCCCAGATGTGTATTTTCTGAGATGGGAGTAATGTGTAAGCACCCCTCGCCAGACAGCAGAGTTGGATATGACATGGGTCCATTCAGGTGCTTCCCGCCAATCAGTTAAATTATATTTAAATGCACAGTATCACATGAAGTTGTTTCCATTCCTGATAGCAACACCAGCTGACCAAAGCCAGGCAGCATCCAACCCGAGCCCAACCCTGCTGTCGAGGAGAGTCATGGAGGCGGGCTGGCTGACGGGAGTTTTCACATACGTCACTTTGTCAATTTGAGTGGGTTATTAAAGCACTGAAACTTTTAACGTTTTCCAGTAAATGAGCTCCATAGCTGTCAACCCTGGACAGCTACCTGCGGTGGCTGAGTGTGACTCTCTGATGAGTCACTTAAATGGTCATAGAATAAACCCTTAAAAACTCATCTCTGCGTCTCAAAGTGACATGCAGAGAAGTTTTTTGGGGGTTTTTTTTTTTTATGAAAATAAACCCTCCCTGCCTTAAAATGGCTCAGACGTAAATCTACACCATTATTTCCTCTAGAAAATGCAAACTGCGAAGTCCTCGCCACCCTGTTCACTCGTCTCTATGCTCGAGCTGTTAGTTCATCCAAGACTCTTCTCCAATGATAAATTAAAACTACTCTAAGCTACATAATGGCAAAACTGGAGTAATACATGGTTGAATATTAATCAAATCAAACCAAGTTTATAGTCATTTTGCTGTAAATACACAGTAGAACAGGCAAGATGAGAGAACGTTTCTTCAGGATTATTCAAACAGCAAATTTTGCAGAATGCACATCTGGGATAGGCAAGACACTAAACGTTCACTGTCGCTGCCTCCTGAAGGGGGCGCTGCATCCATGCGCGCCGCCATTCAATTAATCAATTATTAGAACCAGAACACAATTCTGAATAATGATGTGGAAATTCCCATCCTGCAAGATAACAGGTTGGTTCCTTAGCTTGGTTACACATGAAACCCCGAAACTGTCAATCCTTGTTATTGAGACAGTAATAAAACTATTTTATGTGCATATTATATGACTTCTAGCATATAATAAATGTCTTAGAAGTGAATAAGGCTGCAGTTAATGATCTTTTTTTTTTCTGTTTAATCTAGTATTTTTTTGGTTTGCTGGTTTTTGATTATTCGATTAGTTGTTTAGTCAATAAGATGTCAGAAAATGGTTTAAAAAATAAATAAAAAAATAAATAAATAAATTGTTGACATGTGATTCCCTCAGCCCAAGATCACAAAGACCTTTTTTGTCCACAACCCAAAGCTATTGCTGACTTATTGAATAGCTGACAACTAGATGACTAATCAGTTAATCACTGCAGCTCTACGTGTAAAAAGCAAACTGAACTTTTCCCCTTGACAGAGTCTTTAAGAACGTACACCCACAGTGGTCTCATTGTCATCATTCATGGTCTTAGTGAATTTACATTTTGTGATCCAACACTATTGTTGATCTGAACACTCAAAAATCCCTCCAATGATCTGAGAACAGCTTACACGTGATACATGACTTGTTTATTGAAAGTGCCATGGACCATCCTGTGTTAAAATGCAGGCAAGTGCTTTGTCATGTGATATCACACTGGATAATAGACGCAAATAATCACTACCAGACACGTATTATCTGAGCGCTATTATTATTGAGAATTAAATTACATGAAATTGTCTTGAGTTGAGCTGCTCACTTTTAAAGCCAACCAACTCCTTTTTTTTGTCAACAGAACAGCAGTTTAGGGTTTCTGATTGGCCTCTTGATTTTACTGTGTGTGAAAACTAAAACCTGATTATATGGATTCAAGCGGTTCAACAAGTTTGTGCCCCAGTAGATGACACCAAATGTAAGATGCTCCTTCTTATTACAAAGCAGTGAGCTTAAAAAAAGCCGTGCCTTTGCTGCCTCTAAATCGTTTACACCCTTTGAATCGCGACGCTTTGAACTTTCAAACGATGTATATTCGGGTCCGTTGCCATTAAAAATACTGCAGCAGAACCTTCACTCAGCTTGCATTCAGGCTGGTTAGTGTTAAGCCTTTTCTGCGATCTGAAATATTGTAAGTTGCAGTGGATGAGAGTGTCAGCCAAATGGCAAATAACCCAATGTAAATATTGGTGCACAAACTGTATGTATATGTGTGTGTCTGAGTGCATGCACCTCTGTACGTTCTGGAGTGCATGATGTAGCCTGTCGTGCCACAGCAGGATTAAAGTATCCCTCTCCCCAGACTGCCTTTTCCCTCGGCCCCCGCGGACCCCTCCCACACACTATTTGTTTTAATTAAAAGAAAACTTCCAGCCCTGGCCAAGCGAGACCAACCGACGATGACTTTTTCCTCTTCTCTCTGGCATTCTCCTCCCAAATCTCGGGCCAAACCTTTTTTTTTTTCTTTCTCTGCATGTCTCTCTTTACATGTTTCTCAGTTGGTCCTTTATTCCGTCGGGGTTATGACTGCGCCGAGAAGGGATGCAGGTTGTCTGTGGTGGAATGCAGAGCTGAATGAGCCTGTTTGACAAAATGGGATGAGAAAGTGTCGTACGTGCAGTCGGCCAAAGGGGAAATTGAATCATTCCGTGTTGGGAAGGCACTTTGGGGAATAGCCCTGTTTCCTCTGAGTTGTGGCTTGGATACTTTCATAGGTTTACCAGTGCTCCCTGAAGTGTGTGTAAGTTTGTGTGTGTGTGTATGTATGTGTTAATGTGAGCAGGCAGTTTCCATGTGTATGTATGCGAGTACACTAGTATGTGTCCTTAGAGTGGGACAGTACAAAGCACACATTGTAGTTTGTGTCAAAGAGTAGCACAGCTCTTAGTGAGTGGGAGGAGGTGTGCATCTGCAGGCCTATTTTCTATTGTGTCAGCAGCTCAAACTTGTTCCCCACCTCTTGGATTGACTCAACAGTGGGCTGTGGTCCACATTCAGAACTGATCCTTTAAACCAGGAGGGAACAACATTAGTTCAAATGGGGTTTTGGAGCAAAGTTTCTGAACACCTGTCAGTCACATTCATAAAAAACGTATCAAGCCATACCCAATATATCTAAAAAAAAAGTGCCTCGAGACATTTAATGCACTTAGCTGATGTTCCCAGCGGGCATAGGTTCAGTGCCAATTCCATCGGTGCCAAGTTAGAGCAGTTACATTTCAGCAAAAATGTCTTAAATGATCGCAAAGATGTGGCTAGTTGATAGGTGTGCTGCTGATGCAGTACAAAAGTGAAGCACCATATATTTTTTTTTTGGTAGAAAAAGTTAAGCAGGAAATGTTTTTGAATATTATTTTTGTTTGTTCCAGTTGGACCCCATTCCTGACGAGGTGCTCCAACAGAGACCAAACGCCAATGCTGTGCACTCTATGGAGAAAGTAATTGAAGCTCACAGTAAGTAGATTATTTACATCTAAACACACCAATTGTCGGCATATACAGTCGTAAACAACCGTTTACAAACACTTGTCAAGACCGTGTATACCATGACAGTCCTGCGTTTCCAATGACTCTTATAACTCTGAATGTTTTCTGATTGAATCTTTGGATGATATACGTGGTGTTCACGACTGTACATTTGTTTCATCATAGTACCATTCTAAATATATTTCAGTATTCGTGGCCTACTTAAGAGTAAAGGTAGATGCTGCACTTAAAAGTCCACACACTAATCATTTATTAGATAGAAAATAGAGGAAATGCTTCAAAAATGTTGTGAAAGGATTGCATTTTACCCCAGCCATGATAGTTTCCTTAATCAGAGAGTTTTGGTGCCTAAACCGAACCAAACAGCAAGTTAAAAAAAAACCCACATAAGTCTAAGTCTCAGTGTCTATGTGTTGCAAACTCCAGTGTCCTGGCTCAAAGCCGTGTTGCAGACTAATGCCTCCACCTGCTAATGCAAACTTTGGAGTCCCTTCAAACTAGAAACCTTTCCTTCTACATCACAGTCTTACTTCTTTTAAAACAAAATAGGAATACAGTTTGTAATGTAATTTTTGTGACACAGGGTCGTCTATACATAGTCACTTTACATATCAATGTTTCAATTAGACATCTACAGCGTCCTTTTCTTTTACAGGTAAATACTGGCGCTCGTTGCAACGCTCTGCCTCGACACTCGGCTGTTCACTGAGCGAAGCCCTCCAACGTGACACAGACGAGGCTGAAACTGTCTCCGCCATGGCCTCGTTGTCTGTCGCCAACAAGCACATTGGAAACAGGTACGTGGAGTTTGTGGGGTTTCTCAGTGACTGATGAACCTTAGTAGACATTTAAAGGAACAGTTCAACATGTTGGTAAGACACTCATTAGCTTTTGCTTCTTAATTATGAGGCTTTTGCCAGCCGCCAAATAGGTTAGTTTAGAATAAAAACTGGAAACAGAGGAAGTAAATAGCGTTGAGTGCTGTCACTTTACGTATTTAACGTTCTGCCACATCACGAAACAATAAAGAAGAAAAAAACACATAACAGCAGAGTGAACACTTAAACCCCTCTGATCCCCAAAAGTGACAACAGGTTTGAAAGACCTGCTATCTTTTTTTCTTTTTTTTTAAATCATCAAAATTACACAAATTATCAGAGCCAGAAACTGTGATAACAAAGAATTGATCTTGAACAGACAGGAGACAAGTATAGAACCAAATTAAACAGTAGAATATGCTACACAAGAGTACGTAGAGTCATTGTTTTTTTCAGTATTGGTAAAACCTGAGGATATTTGAAAAAATGTTCTATATATTGGCACCATGTTTTTGTCATTGTGAAATACATTATATAAGAAATTCAACTTTTGCATCATCTGTTGTATGATTTATGAAATTGTAACTTTATTGTGCTGTACAAAAAAGTTGTGCTGTTTCCATAGAGGTGCAGGACTTTTTATTACAGCGTTAAATGCTCAGAAACTGCTTAGAGTTGAAGTGTCCAGTGTGAACAACATCAAAACAGATTTCTAATAGCATGTACATGACTTAAAAACTGTGCAGCTGTGGTACTTTAAGCAACCGTTATTTCTATGTTGTTTCTATTTCCCAGAGCTGAAGAGGAACCGATGGAAGAGGAAGCTCCCATGTAAAGAATCATCCCTCGCCTTTGACCACTCAGACCAGTCTTGATCTTTGACTGTTTCCTCATCAGTCAGTTCTAGTTTAAACTCCTCTCCTATGTCTGACCCCTGCCGGATCAAGATGGCATCTTATCTTGGGAGGACAACGGGGGGGGGGAGCTGACAAAAGTGGCACTCAAAAGGAAACGGACCACTGAAGATGAGCGATGCATTCACTGGTCAGCGGTGCACAGAGCGATAAGCATAACATGTGCTGCGTTGCATTGCACTTCAAGACCTTGGATATAAGAGGACGGACTCACCTAAACCACAATGACAGCCTCGAGTGCCAGTGCTTTTAAACACTAGACAGATGTGCTTTTTTGATCGCCAGTCGGAAGCGTACACAGAGGATGTACAGTCGTCTACTTTTCATATTATTCTGTTCTCTCCGTGCTTTATCGTCATCTTCTCACTTTCATCAAGACCACCAGAGCTATTGTGATTGTCTGCACTAAGGATGGATTCCTGCTCTTTCAAAGATATCTGAACGAGAAGGAACAAAAAATTTCCTGCAATTTTCCGAGGTTGTTGAAGGTTACAGAAGAGAAAGGTCAGCAGGTTTCCAGGATTCCAAAATTACTGACAGTAAAAAGACTGTGCATTTGTGCCTTTTTTTTTTCCAACCTGGTGGATTTTCTTTTGAACTCCACTGAAAGAGCTTTGCCTTAAAAAAACAGGTTTGGGAACGAGGCCTCTTCTCCCCCCCAACCCCTTAAACATTTAATCCTGGCAAGTCATCCACTGCCTGCATGTTGTTGGCACATAGACTGGAGGACCTTCTTGGCATGTTTACCTATAATTCCCTGCAACCAGCCTACTACTGTCTCTCCCTTCATCTTTGTATTTTCCGCTCATTTTCAATCTCAGCTTGGAAGGTAGTTCCCAGCCACAAGTTGGAGGTGGCTCCGTTTGAAAGGAAGGCGGAGGCGGGGGCTCGTATTATTGTGTAACCGTGTATCACATAGGCATCGATTCTTCTCCATCAGTGGAAGAGTTAAGTAGCATGCACTTTACTAGAACCGCAGGACTTCTGAGCGTCAGAATCCTGTCATACTGTATGTAGTAGTTAGACAACAATGAAGCCAAAGCATGACTGACGATCGTCTCTGTAGAGTCAAACCACTTACGGAGCTGCAGACTTAGCAGCGACATTTTCTGCATCAGAATTTCTTTGCAGAATATTGAGGGATGGCAAGGAATTAATCTCACATGGGCCAATTTGTTGAGCCAGCCCTCTTCTTTAAGACAAATGTGTCTCCCTGGTAACGAGGACCACACCACCTGGGATTTTCCAGAGGGATGTTCCGAGGCTGCACAGGCTCCCACAGCTGGTTTAACATCTTTAGTCCCTTGTTAAGCACATCTGCTCTCCAAATGTCAGGTGCCGTGGGCCAGGTGTGTATAAGTCTGTCTGTTCATATACAGCGAAGCACAAGCTGCTCTTTATACATATTCAGTAGTACAGTAGTATCATTTGAAAACTTCATTTCCTTTTCACTTGCCAGCGGGTCAGTTGAATATATTTGCATCTTTAAATAGCACATGTAGCTCAGTCCTGTCCTCTGAATGCCTCCTGTAGGGTTTCAGGAGCATTTTTATTAAACCTGTAAAAATCTGAATCCCTCTCAATCAGAGTTTTGTAAGATTTAAGAAGACAGGAGGTTATGAGTATATTCTGAGCTTAATGATTTGGAATAGTTTGAAACTAAATCCACAATAAAGCTGCCAGTCAGAGTCCAGTTCAAATAATCACACTGTGCAACACACCAGCCTCTAGCTTAGTTTTTTTATTTTATAATCCTGGCAGGTAAAACAATTACAAACTCCTTTTCATTTTGCCAACACGTCTGGTGGAAGCTTCCTGCGTGTAACCATCCTTCCAACTTGTGTTTGGCCCTCTGGGCAACTACCTTCTGCCACCTTTATTCCATCTACAGACTAATCATATGTTTAATGTATTTTTTCAGTGAACAGGAAACAGAGTGCTGTGGTGTTTACTGTTGTTTACTGTACATAGGACACTGATCTCCTGAGTATTCCTGCCACACACACAAGCTGTCAATGACTACTTTGTTGATTTTTTTTTTTCCCCCTCTCCGTCTCATTCTTCTTTTTTTTTCTGGTTTTGTTGCCCTTCTCGGTGGACTCTAGTGACTTATTTTTGTACTTTTTTAAATGTGTTTTCCTGTTGTTTTGTACATGTCGTCCACTCTCTCCTCTCTGTCTCTCTGTTACATTGTAAAACTGACATGCTTCACACCAGGTGAGGGTTCAGACTCTGTTTTTTGCAGACATTACATGTATACGTTTCTGGGTTCAGGGTTTTTTGTGGGAGTGTTGGGATGCAAATGTTTCTACTTTGTATAATGATGGACAATTGTGTATTTACTGTCTGTTCATAGTAGATTTATATATAAAAAAGAAATGAGTATATTATATATATCTATACATAATGAAATACTATGATCTTGTTTTTGAAGTTGGTATTGAAAAACGATACTTTTCATGGGTCTTGCAAACCGTCGGCTCTTTTCGGGGTGTTCACGTGGGCACCGTTCGCTGTCCTGGGTTACAGCTGATTACGCGCTGAGCAGCATTTTGCTAGCTGTCTTTTTTGTCTTTTCAACAGTGACGATAGTTTTTCGCTTTATTTATCCTGTTAGTACCATAACACTGTTACAGTAGGTGTGCAGCTGCCCTCTGCTCAGCCTCACATATTCATGCACATATTTGTACTATTCCATACTTTTTTGATGTTATGTGTGTGTGTAGGTGTTATCATAGAAAAACACAACTCTTGGCTGGCATCTTTAAAGTATTTTGAAGAAATGTGAGACTACGCTTCAGAAATCTGGATTCTGCACTTCTTAACAAAAAAAAAAAGAAAAGAAAAAGAAAAACGACCAGTGTTTGTTCCTCTTGTGTGAAGGTTTACAAGTTCATCCTCCAACATCTTCGAAAAAAACAAGACAAATGGGAAGGGTGGATTTGAGTTTGCCGTGCCGTTCCCCTACGTTAAATCACTACGATGGGAATTGCAATTGATTTCACATGATCATCACTTATTTTCCTAACAGGCCAAATATCCTTAGTTTTCATTTAAATTATCGTTTGTCAAGTTTGCATCTCGTTCGTCGGTATGTAAGCGATGGGTTTTTTAGGGCTTTTATTCCAGTTGTTCAGCAAGACTTTTCTTGTATTCAGAAAGATTGCAGGTGTTTGATCCCTGCAGCAGCCCACATGTCTTCTCTTTCTTGGCAGACACAAAAACGCCATTCCTGGCTTTTGCTGTACAAGGACCGATTTAAAAACAAAAACTGAATGTCTTAAAGAAACAAACAAAAAAAACAACTGTGTGATTACATTGTCATATGCTGATTGAAACGCTCAAATAGACTTGTAAGGATCAAATGTTCTCATTTTGACTGAATGTATCTGACATCTCCTGGCAGAGAGATGATGCCTCTCACTGCAAATACACTTCTTGTGTCACATGCCCTTAAATTACACCCTTTTCTGCCACTTTTATACATGAAGTAGAGACTTTTTCATGTCATCTTTCACCTCAAAAATTTACAGAAACAAGGAAAATGTGTCGGCATCAATCCAAGTTTTTCGTAGATTATGTACCATAGTTAGTGAGCAGAAGGGCTTTGCTTTATCTGCACATTCCCTTCTTTAAACACAGACACATCACTTTCTCCTGTTTTGTCGTTTCGGGGCTGATGTGTTGCGGGATAGCTGCGCGCGGGGTTTTATTCGTGGTCGGGATGTGAAAACACATATAATCAGGCTGTCCGGAATATCAACTCAACGGGGACGGGCTGACATCTCGTTTTAATCCACTTGAAGAGATGCTTTTCAGTAACCCAGCCCAGAACATTCCCAGAACCTTTGCACAGCATTGCCAGTCATTTCTCTACTGTTTAATGCTTTGGTTTCTCGAACGCGGCCAAAACTAGCACTGTCTGGCCATCTGTCTACACTGTTAGTCTTAAAACAATGTCCAGTAACCAAAAAGAAAAAAAAAAAAAACCCCGAAACATTCCATTTTGTTATAATTTCCATTTATTAGGAGGCAGATCTTTTTTTTTTTTTTCTTTTTTTTTTTTAACCCTCACAGGTTCAAGAGTTGTCTGGTTGTTTAGGTGGCCTGGTCTGACTCCACTCCATTCCTCTTTTCTCTCTGCATGATCTGTATGTCTGCATGCACTGCCTACCTGTCTGTCTGTCTGTCTACCTGTCTACCTGTCTGTCTGTCTGTCTGTCTGTCTGTCTGTCTGTCTGTCTGTCTGTCTGTCTGTCTGTCCCCCTGCCACATACCAGCACAAGGGATCGAGCACTGAAGGACGTTAGTACTTTCACTGTATCCAAACTGTCTTATCTCTTTTGATGCTTTTTTTGTTTTGTTTTGTTTTGTTTCTAGTGGGGAGGAGTTTGGATGCTTTCCATGTTGTGCTCTTACCTGTAGCATAAGGAATCATCAAACCTGGAAGACTTTAAGTTGAACATTTTACAAAAAAAACAAAAAAAAAAACAAGGAAAAAACAGTATCTAGCACAGACAATAGATTTAATTGTATTTATGTAGAAAAACAAATTGTTTTAGTGGGATGCTTTGTAAACTGCAACAACAGAATGGACTCTTTTTTTCTTTTCTTTTTTTTTTCTTACCAGGCGAGATGTGACTTCGGTGGATTTTTGGGAAGACACTTTTGTTCTTTGTCACATCTGGACTTATCAAAGGGCTCCATCCAGATGCCTGGTCATTGTTACAGTCGTCCATTTCAGTAAATAAGCCAGTTATCTCTATGACCACTGTGGTTCAACAACAAACAGTTCTAGGTTTACATATGTATAAAATGCCTATTCTTTTTCTTTTTTTTTTTATCAGTTATGTTTTTGACTTGTTCCACCATTGTTACAGAAATAGTACATTTTTCTCGGGAACCTTTGCTCTAACATGTTGTCTTTGACATCTACAATATAAAGTATTGTTTTGGAAAAACTGCAATGTCTGGTTTTTATGTCTATATTGTCGGTTATTGGCTTTCAGTTTGAAAGAAAAGACATATTAACTGGTGGGAAATGTCTCCCGCTATCAGGCATGAAGGCAGATGTTGAGAATGAGCATGTGTCTTCATGTACAAGAAGAAGAAGAAAAAACTTCACTGTAACATAAAACCATGACAGATCAAAGATTTGACATCGCCCAATGAACATTTGGTTATTCATGTTACTTCATACTTCACTGTCCTTCTTCAAAGAGTACTGATTTACCATTGCAGCCCTGCAACATTGTGAGACTTATGATCAGATGTGGGCACTAACAAGCACCACTGAGTTCATGCAGGGAGCTCTGGTTCTAAATGCTGCTCAGAGGTCAGCACATCAGAGAACCACGCTGGCACTGAACTGATAGGGAAAAGTAAGTCCATGTGTTGTGTTATCAGCTTTGTACTACGTAAACATACAGATGGGTGACAAACTAAAGAAACAACCAACATGAAGTGCCTTAGTGAAGGTGTTGGAACCACCAGGACAGCTTCAACACACCTTGGCATCGACTCTCCAAGTCTGTGGATGAAACATCGTTCTTACTAATGATGATTCTTTACTGCTGTTTTGATGATGATGGTGGAAAGTGCTATCCGACACATCAGCCCAAAGTCTACCGTTGTGTTTAGATCTGGTGACTGCAAAGGTCGTACGGCATGATTTGCACCATTTGTGCCCTTATGACGGGGGCATCGTCATCCTGAAGAACAGAAACACTTCATCACAAGATAAAGGTGATCACTCAGAACAGCTTTGTATTCATTTGTAGGGACACCTCCAACCATGCTTTTAAAATCTGACCACAGCCCAGCAGAGCCACCAAGATCCTTTTCTTTGACTCTAGGGGTCAAACATTCAGGTGTGTTTGCTTTTCTTGGTGTACACCACATATGCATTCACCGTCGGGTCAATGAAGGATGACACCCCAGACCGTATTGCTTTACACATCCATAAATGGTTTTTGAACCCCTGAACTCTCATACGTACTTTCATCTTTGGAATGAGGGTTTGTTCCACTGCGACCCTACTTTACCATCACCCCGTATGTAACTGTAAATGGTTGCTCTTTATGTCCTTCAGTCGCTCTAGTGCATGATCATCACAGTCATCAGATGTGCGCTGTTGGCTGCAGTTTCTGTCACAGCATGCTGACGTCTTTCCCATAGATCTACATGCAGATGTCACTGTTTCTATTGAAACACTAACCAGCTCAGTGGTCTTGGTGACTGATGGTCCTTCTGAAATCACTTACATCTTTTCCAGTTGCCTTCTCGATGCAAAATCAGAATCGACTGGGCCTGCTCAGCATTTCTATACATAAAGCAGATCAAGACTGAAACTTACTCTTACATCTTACTCTTAGATCTTACATCTGCATTCATTATTGCGTAGTTGAACTACGAGAACAACAATGACTGAGAATCTTCACCGACATCTGCATTCATTATTTTTCATTTATTCAGGTTTGTAGTCTAGTTTATCACCCATCTGTAATACATCACTACCCCTGCTTTCTGCATTATTATAAATACTCAAGGTGAGACGTCTTTTTGATTGTTTTTACCTTTAACTGATCGTGTATGTAGCCTGATCAGTTAGTGCCTATTGTTAGATGCTGTTGTACGCTCACTCAAACAGGTATTTTGACGAGTACTTTCACTTCTACTTGTTTTTACAAATGAACAGTTTTGGTTATTTTACCCACCTCGGCTAAATATGGACATTATTTTAAAAGATCAAAATCAATGCAGAAGCAGAGATCTCCTTTTTTTTTATTCCACATACAATGTTTTCTTGTCAAAGTCATGACACTCACAATACTTCAGTGCACCTTGACAGAGATTTTCATAAACAGTGTTAAAGATCTTTTTTTTTTACATACAAAGTCGCATGTCTCTATACCTGTTAAAAGTCTTTGATTTGTAAAATTGGATTAGTACCCCTTTAGGTCCAGAGGGAGGCATCAAAGGCCCCACAGTAGCTTTGACCAGGCTTAGCCACCCATTTGGAGAGGTCAGAGGTCTGAGCTAGTGTCCAAATAAACAGCACCGAATCCCTGTTGGTGGTGGAACTAACGCTAAGACAACAGTCCAAAGGCAAACAAAACCAATCCCGCCTTTCCTCCCCTCAAATAAACATACATTCCACCGCTTTCAGTCAAACTCTGAACTGAGTGAGTAACAGTGTAAATAATACCTCTGCCACGGGCTTTGTAGCCTCGTCACAATCTCTGTAAATCACGGAGGCTTGAGACACCGGTGTCGAAGGCAAACGACAAAGACCACATCTCTGGTTCCTTGAGGGAATAGGGTTAAATGGAGACATGAGGGACAATATTTACTATTTTACTGATGCTGAAAAGAACTCTGAAGGCTTCCAGAGGATGGCAGTAAAGCTGGGAATGTGCCCTCTTTATGGTTCCTCTGTGGCTGGGGATGCTCTAACAACACTGCTCGTGACACACAGACTGCCCGTCTCACCTTTGGTTCCCCGTGTCTCTGCTGTGTAGCGACACACAACCCCGGTGCCCTCTGAGTCAGGTCGGGTCAGACGAGAGGCGGAGCCCTGCTTGCTGAACTTTCCCCCCTCCTGAGGCCCGACCCACAAGATGGCTGCCTCTGCCCCCACAACAAAGGACCGAAATGTCAGTAAGAGATGAAATCTTGGAAAGCCCCCCTTTCTATTTTCCCTCTCGCTTCCCCGCAGTGACATTCTGGTCTGCGGCGGCTGTCTTGCTTTGCTCATCTTCTTGCAACGTCGGTCGTTATCAGTTCGCTCTGTTATTACCCAGCCACCCGCATGCGTAAAAAAAGGCCTCATCCTCCCAGCTGTGCTCATCACCGCGCTTTTTAATTGCAGGTTCAAGTGACCCCAAAATGGGCGATGAGGCTTTGGCCAGCTGCTTGGATGACAAATAAAACTAATTATAGAAGAGAGTCATTAGAATCCAATTTGGATCATCGACACACACACACAGGCGTGCAAAAGGAAGCCTAGGTATATTTAAAGAGTTGGAGCAAACATGCTATGTATGGGGCGATCACAGAGGAACGAGGAAATGCCAAGAAAAACTCAGACAAAAAATTAGAACAAATTCTGCAGTTTCCCTCAACTTGTTTTATTCCAAGCATGACTTTGGAAACAATGGAAATGTACAACGAGGAGCCTGTGGCCATTTGCTGTTCTTTCCATTGAATGTTCCACCGGTCCAGTCGGGACTTCTGATCCATAGTGTATTTGAAAAGCTGCGCGGCATTTGCTTGTCTTGCTACTGTATGTGTTTAGTCTGCCGCTCAGCGTGTACTGACATCAAAAGGGCAAGGACACACACGGCTATGTGGTGTTTGGGGCAAACATAACACTGAGGCTAAGTCACTGTCAGCTCGGGTGTCAGGAGTACCAGGGGCAGCACAAAGTTCAGGGATGGTCAGCAACGCATGCCGACACCGAGACGGCATAAAACTTTCCCTTTAGGCTCGGCTATTCTGGTAAAGAGAGGACATGTCATTACACAGTTACCCAACGTAAACAAAGTATTTTCTATTTGTGGTTCTTTTAAAAAACAAAAACAAAAAAAAAATCCTTCATGCTCCTGTTTTTGCATTTAAATATATAGTTAAGGCCAGAATTATTCATACTGAGATTCTGATTACAGTGATTTATTTTTTTTGACCAATAGTTGTTTTGTTTTTTTCTCACTGGAAATGACATACATAGCAAAAAAAAGAAAGAAATTGTGTCAAAGATGTTTATGATAAATTGTACATATGCTTGGCCATGTCAAAACGCTTGCTTCTATACCATTCCCAATGACCCTGCTAATTTTCTACCATGTTATAGAGCATTCTAATATAAACTGAGAACAGCTGATACAGCAGTTCTATAGCCAGTAACTAATCAGTTTTAAGTAATGGCCAAAACCTTAGTGTGCTAATGAGGTTTATTACTGAGAGATAGTTGGACAGTGTGCAAGGGCAAACGCTACAAAGCCATATCCAAGTGTTTTCAAGTGCCAGTGTCCATAACTAAAGAGCACAATGAGTTCTACACTGTGATAAACCTCAGGGGTCATAGTAGGAAGTCAAAATTGAGCCCTGCACTAACAAAACAGGTCCCAAGAAGAACTGAAGGATCACCACTAAAAACATCGTCTATAAACGATGACCGTGGAGAAATCTTCTTCTCCGTAACAGAAACACAAACACTTGACTTTGCAAAAAGGTCACATGAACAAAGAAGAAATCTTCTGGTGGTTGGATGCAACAAAAATAGAGTTGTTTGGACACAGAAACATGATAATCATCCATTCATCCATCCATTATCTATACACCGCTTAATCCTCACTAGGGTC